AAAACTTTATATTTTTAGTCCAATTTCTCTCAAGAAATTTGTGAAAGAAAAGCAATTAAATAATAAAGTATTGGTTTGAACATTTTTGGAAAATATTAAGAGCAGAAATAAGGCTTAGCTACTAGAATGTTTAGCTTTAATTAACAATAAAAATTTTTTAATTAATAGTTTGATTTTCTCAATCATGTTAAAGAATTTTATATTCTTACAAGATTTATTATAAAGAAGGAGCATAGCTATAAAACAAGATATTTAATTGCAATATTAGCCGCAATTTTTTCTTTCAGAGTAGCAAAAAAATACTCGCAACTTACTTAAGAAAACATATGAAGCAACAACAATGCTCTTAAAATTTTCAGAGTTAGGTTTTACTCGCAAAAAATTTTAAGTCTTAAGTTTCAGTGCAGTCAAATTCAAAAAAAAGTCTATTGTGATTGTTCTCTAGAAATATGTTGCAAAATTCCTGTTATCCGTTGAAATCATATGAGTATTTCATTTATCTTATAAATTCAAATTCATAAATAAATTAATTTAAATATATTTAATTTAATTTAAATATATAAGATATAAATGCTTACTATTGTCCTTCTTATATTCATTTTATTTTCATTTATTTAAAGTAATTAATTTTTAGTGTTTACAATTTTTATATTTCTTATTACACAAAACACAACAATAAACATATGTCAAAACAAGCATTTAAAATATTTTAAAAGTGATGCCAATTCGTTTTAACCAGATTTAATGTTGTTTTTTTACAACTCTGAAAGAAAAAATTACGGCAATTGTTATAATTGCAAAGAATCTCTATCAATTCTGGAAGAACACAAGGCAAAAGAGTACACCCAGAAATTTATGTTAGAGAGAATAATTATGAAAATTGAGGATAGAGTTTGAAATAAAGTAAAATTGAGTAACAGTAGGTATGAAGAGATCAAGTATCTAGATACGAAATATTGATAATTTGAAATTTGAAAAACGCGCTTATGAGATGCCATCTTTAAAAAGCAAATATTTGTTTATTAATAAAGTTTTCTGGTAATTGTTAAACATATATCTGCATTCAGCATAAAAATTCTACGGATTTTGTAATATAAAAATAAAGCAACATTAAAGATACTACATTTTGCAAGAACTTTTGAAAAAGATCTCAATGAATATGACCCAGTATTACTTTTTATGATCCTAAGTTAAAATTATCACTATGTCGAGTAAATTGGGGCCATTAAAGAAAAGTCATATATCTATAACTGAATCAGCGTAAGCGTATGTTGTACACTGCATATTCAAAATGTACAGAGGATTGAGTCACATTTGGCATATTTGTGTTGTCCTGTACCGGATTTATTTTAAAGATCACAAAATAAAATTGGATTGATTGATAATATTTAGTATAAGATATATATTAATAATTGCCTGTGTCTTGTATATTGAATGCATTTGTATGTAATTGGGTCCATCAATATCCAAATAAATATTTATTGTTGTAGGATATATTTTAGATTTTGTGAGAATAGTCATCTAAAATAAAAAGACACTGACACTGGCTGCAGTTGTCGATTGACACTTACATGTTTTAAGTGAGCTCTGATCTAGAAATGGAAAAACCGACATCATAAAATATTGCTAACATAATAATGTAAAATTTTATATATTTCTAGTTCCTACAAAATATTTGGAAAATATTGTAGCTCCATCATCGCATCTCATCTATCATAAAATCGCTTCTTCCGATCGGTAAGCAATACACCGAATAGGCAAGGTTTCAGCAATTTGAAAAAAATCGTGAGATGTTACTGTACAAAATTCTAAAGATATACTTGATCCAATGATGGAGATATGGGGATGTAATAAAGTTAATTACTCTTGTGCGGTTTTTCCATCTGTTTAAAATTTTTGTTTAGTTCAGATTTTTTGGGAAAGTACAATAAACATTTGTTAATATGATTGATAAGATTTGGCTATATCCCAAGGTGATTAATAACATTTATTTCTTCTTATACCATTTACTTCAACTATGTGATATATATATATGATATACACAATTTGTGTTCAATATTTTCTTCAAATTTTACTTAGGTTAAATTAAATTTCTTCGTGATTGCAAAACAAATTAATAGTTCCGATATGTCACTATAATGACCTAGAAAAATTGGTTTTAGTATCAGAGTTTTGATTTTATTGGCGCTATATATACTGGAGGTACTTGCTAAAAAACCTTACTTGCTGTTTATTTTTTTTTTAATATTTATTAATTGCGGAATATATCTATTTCATTTATAAATAAATTTTCAATCGATTTAGTTAAGAATATTTAATCGTTATATATAACAAAACATAATGAATGTTTCTATGTGCTATGTAAGTTTATAGTTTGAAGAAACTTTGGCTTTATTTGCATTCTTGATTCAAATATATAGGTGTATTATTACATATATAATATTATTGAAAAAGCCGTTCAGACTAACAATTAGTTATCATCTATATATTGCAGATAGATATTAAATAACAAATATTATAAATATTAATAAATATTAATAACAAAAATTTAAGAAGTAATATGAGTGTTATATTTATTAATATATATTATTAAGTCCCATACAGATGGTAAGACTTTATCTTTGGTACGTGTTTGACATTGTTGAGACGTTATCTTATATACTTTCAGATTTGCTTATAGACTACGTCTGCAGAGTTCATTTTCGCGGCGAATTTTGTAAACTTTGGATATTGCCTCAAACTTATATATTTTGAATCTCTTAAAAAATATAATACTTTAAAACATTATTATTGAATTAATTTTTTCAAACTTTAATTAATAATTTGAGTAATTATTTAAATATATAGTATATTTTATAATTTTAGAATTTAAATTTAATAAGTAAATTGGATTTATAAGAAATGTATAAACAGTGTAAAATTTATTAAAACAATGTATTTATTAATAATATATATTTTTAGTAAAATTTTATAAAAATAATTAAATTTGGGACTAACAAATAAATTAATTTGCACATGCCTAATTACACTCAGACTTGGTCTCAAGGATCAGATCATGTCTGGTTTAAATTAAAAAAGTACTTAGACAGGTGGTTAGGTTTTAAACCCGGTTACATATATGTCTATAAATGCATTAATTTTATTTAGATATAACATGTCTTCAACATGACGAAGATAATGTTTGATCGTCTATAGGACATTTGTGAATACAACGTTACATTAATCAGATACGAGTATATGCAAATGTCTCAGTTAATTCACACAGCTTATATAGATTCAATCTGGCTTATATATATATATTTCTTTTAGTATGTACATTTTAAATGAATACATATCGGATATACATATATATATTAATATAAACACAACATTATTTTATTTATATCCTTTAAATTGGTAAGTATTATATTATTTACATATTTTATTTCATATAATAGTTATATATGTATATATATATATATATATATATATATATTCAATGAAGTTGTTATAGCAAAACAAATATATAAAAAAAAATAAATTAATATTTGCTGTATGAAACTAATAAGTGTATGTACATCTATAATATGTATTTACACATAATAGATATTTTTTAAATACACACATTTTAATAAGATATATTTTAATAGAAGCATTTCTATATTTCTTATATTTTTGATAAATAAAAAAAGAATTATAGCAAATTAATATATGATATTTTATTATTTTGTTATATTTTACTGAGTACTTTGATTATTGTATCGGTTTATTCGTATTTGTTAAATTTATATTATTAATATTATAACTGTTATTTTTAATTATATTTTGTAAATATTTAACGATTAAAATAATTTAAATTTTTATCTTTTTAAATATAGTGTACATATTATTTAAATAATATATTTTGTGATTTAAAAAATATTAATTGCAGTATTGTATTTCATTATAATATATTATGTACTGTGCATGGTAAATATATTTATTTATTTATTGCATTTATTTTATATATTATATACTATGACTGTTTTATAACTAGTGTTTCATTATATTCATTAATTATATAAAAATATTATTCTTATAAATACTATAATTATTTATGTACGTACACAGCAAATAAAATAAATTTGTTAAGTAAAATATGCATCTTTTTAAATATATATATTTTATTAATATATATTATGATATGAAGAATATTTTTATGTCACACATAAATATTAAAATAATAATACATTTTTATATAACAATGATGTTTTAATAATCACATCTTATAATTTAATTTTATTATTATATGTAATTATCATTATAAATATATTATAAATATATTATATATTATTATATTATTATTATTATTTTTATTACTGTTATTATTATTATATTATTATGTTATTGTCAATCTAGATTTTTGAATCAATCAAGAATAATAATAATATATTTAAATTGACTATCTTATAGGTTTTGTTTTTCTTAAACATTTATTATATATATTATTCCATATTATATGTATATATATAATTCCATATATATATGTATTCATATATCTATATTTATAATATAGATTTCTTATTATTATATATTGCATAAAAATATTTTTTAATATTAATATAATCTACAATTATTCACAGGAATTAGATTAGTAGCCGCTATAGTTTCTATCTTATAGATAGATTTTTGTGTAAATTTTGAGCGCATGAAAATATATGTCGACATATACATATGTGAGTGTGTATTGTCATTAAAAATATGGAGAATCTATATTTTGTTGACAAAAGTGTTTGGGCTGTGCGGATATCTATTCGGTGAGGTATACTCTCACCAGTCTCATTAGCATTTCTGAAATTCTCTTGAATATACGGCGAATTGAACGTACATGTCGCCTTTACAAGTATATAGTGGAAAACATATGTATTTTATCATGCAATTTTCTGCGATATATGCGATATATGCAATAGATAAAGTAGTTGTGTACTATATATAACTTAAATGATGTATTTATTTATACGATAGATTTGTCGTATACTTACAATTCTCTTTTCAATAAGATTCGTTGCTATTCTTTTCTCAATATTGTAACTCCAAATGCTTGTTTTTAACTTTTAATTTAAATTGCCGCGTCCATACATAGAATAAATAGACTATTGCATAGATTCAGATTTAAAGAATGAGAAGAACGTGGTTGTTTGTATCGTACATTAATTCCTAAAATATGAACAAGATGTGCAAGTTAGCCCAGGGAAATATGGTAGTGTTATTTTTGAAAATTCATACTATTTATAAACAATTGTTTTTTTTTTTTCTTTTATTTTTGGTTTCTCATCTCACTGATTTATATCTTCTTTGTTCGAATTTATTTTATTTTTTGGTTTTTGCTCTTAAAAGAAAACTTTTATTTGTTATGTTTTCAAATCAAAATTAACATGTTTACTTAGAGAAGCTTTACTGCTAAGAAAGCAAATATTCAATTAAGAATTTTACATGTAACACTTAATTTTAATTTTAAATAAATTTTTACTCAATTGTATGTTGTTTTAAAAATGTTGAACTCATTTACATTACACTGATATTTTCAATAAAAACAAAAAATTAAAAAAAAATAAAAAAAGTAAATAAAAAAAATTAATAAAAAAAACAAAAACATTTAAAATTTCACCAATAATTATATTAAGTGCAATTTTTATATTTATCAAATTTTAAGATTTTTCACTTGTTTCAAAAATAAAATTTTTTTAATATTCAACATTTTTTAATTCAATATTTTAATTTGAAATTATGTCTCTGGTTGTATTTAACCCTAGTACACCTCCGCTTACATAACTAGCAAATGGTCGCATATGTCGTTTCGCTAACGCTGATCGTCGTTGCGATCGTCGATCTATTAACAAACTAAATTCTGCTCTGCAGACCGATTTATAATGAAACGATTTGTCGCTATGTTTAGTACTGAAGCGAATTCTTCAGAAATACATTCACGTTTGTCAATGTTTTGCCGTAAAATAAAGTTTCAACACTCCCGACATTTGCCAACGAAATAGTTCTCAATGCGGTAAGCCATTAACAGAGAAAAGTGTTGTCTCGTCGGAGAGAGTGTCCTTTTGTTACAATAAATTTTCATTGTTTATGGTAAAATTATTTGATCACATATAATATACGTTATAAGTATATTTAATTATAATTTCAGTACAGTCTAAAAACTTAAAATATTAGGCATTTTACGTCATATTTAATAAATCTAAATTGATACTAACCTTTCGACTAAAACTTGCGAAATTTAAAAATCTAACATAAGTCTTAGTAAAATATTTCAAATAAGTAGACTAAAAAGATATATATTTAATAGTAGAAAGGGTCTAATGTTTTTTATATATCTATTTTTTTTTATCACAAACATTAACTGTATACATAATGTTTGTTAACACTGCAACTAGTGACAAGAAAACTAACGAGTAGTTAGGCTTTGACATGTTTTTACTAAAAGATTTTTAAAACCCCTACTTCAATTTCAATGGCAATTAAATCATATGTAGTCGAGAGAGTAAGCTTATGGCATTAAGAAGACTGCTAGCTTCTTCGTTAACATGTCTCTTTCTTGCATGTTCTTTAATTTACTCAGCAACTGCTGAGATGTTTAAGTCTCGGTGAATATCTACCTATGTAACGTAGATATGCTGGACCGTTAACAATAATTTGGATAATTCTATTTTGTAGCTGTTGAATTATGTTGATATTGGATTGGGTGGTATAGGTCCAATTTTTTATAGCACAAGACATATCGTAATTTGAAATGTTTTTTTAAAAAAGTGTTGACTTAAGTTGACCTAAGTACTCATAGTAACGTACTAATTGAAACCGTACGCTATATTCGAAGAACCAACTTGAAGGTAGCAGTCTGAAGCATTTAGTGCAGGATAGCGTCTTTAAAAATTATAATGAGAATGAAATTATTAAATCTTAAAACTTCGTTTTGGAATTGAACTCTATCAAATTTGAATTGTGGACTCGAGTGCTAATATATAAAGTCAACATTCACTCAACTTTCGTCTGTCAAATTTCAAGTTCTGACAATTTTTACTGCTTATTCGTAAATTAATAGTTGCACTTTAATTCGTTTTGCTCACTAGCAGTTCAAAAATTATATACAATTGCATGTTTCTGACCCATAGATTTCCAAACACCACTACTTATAATTGATTGATGGTGTGTGAAATAGCAGCGCGGTCAGTTCATTAATTTATTTAATTAAAAGTCAAATTTTTGGACATAAAAAGTTCTTCATTAGGTAAAAGGGTGTAAGTTTTTTATTCGAAATAGATTTTAATCTTACAATCTAAAACTTTTAATTACTTTGTTTTTAGAAAATAATAACATTAAAATTAAAGAGAAGCTTATATATAACAAAATAAATAGTATATTGGAATGAATTCTCAAGGAAATTTTATTGAAAATTGAAAAGAATTATGTTTTATTTTTACTCATTGCTAAGAACCAACTTTATATGTGCAATTATTATTAAGGCTAGAATGGTTAGAATAAGGTTAGAATAAACTATATAAAGAATAATCTATATTAAAATATATAAGCCAACACTAAATTGTAGCCATTTTATTCATTCACAATCATGTCTCATTTAGGAGGTTATGCTCATTATAGCCATTAATTAGAATGATGTACAATACAAAAATTTTGCATATAAATGAGCTCATTATCAATAAATCAGTTCATTTTAGGCGCAAAATGTTAAATGCAACCCTTAAATAAAAATTTCCCACAAAGGAAATCATCAAAATTTTAATTATGTGCCATATGTTTTATATGTAAGATGTAAACAAACAACATATAAACAAAGCTGTCAACAAAACAGCTTTATTAAGTATTTAAAAAAATCTTTGTTTTTATTAATTAAATATGTAAAATGTATATAAAAAATATATGTATATGTAAAAATGTATATATACATGATATATAAAATGTATATAAATGATTTAAGACATCAATTATATATTTAATTTTTTTGTGTGGTATATTACTAAGTGAAGTTTATAAAACTTCTGGCAACTGCATAAATGAGCTCATTATAATGTGAACGTTCACTCATTAATATAAATGACCAAGTGCATAAATTAGACAGTGTGAATGTACTATTAGCTAATGTCACTATTATTACAATTGAATTTATCAAAACAAAATAATAAAATACAGTTGTAAAGGTAGATCTCAAACTGTGACGCCATTCTAAAGTTCTATTTTTCGTAAGGCCATTGAAAGAATATTATTTAAATCTGTCCGTAACCATCTCATTACTTTTTTAACCATCGAAAATATTGGACAATGGTTAGTGATGAAATTCTTTGTAACAAAAACTTCAAAGAAAATGGAAATCTCTACCGTAATAGTTAATATGTTTGGTAAATATGTTCGCTGAATCCTCTCAATCTGTTTTGTTTTAAAGTGGACGTACAGGGTTTGTAGACCGCCCACCTAAAAGACAGTCAAGAACTGCATTATATTACATTACAAAATTATTAAAAAAAAAAAAAGTATTATGCTGAGCTTTCGTAGAAACAGATAATTATTGATTATTAAAGTAATGAAAAATTTTAATATATTATAATATCTCAGTTCCCTTCATATTTGGACTATAAACATTTTGATAAATTTAAAATAAATAATAACTTAAGATTTTATAACTATTGATATGAAAATTAAAATCTCTAACTTGAGGTTTTTAGACCTTCGGTGAGAATATATTACTACCATAACTAAAATATTCTCTGAAGATGACTATCGAAAATAATCAAAATATCGGAAAATATTTGAATAAAATAATTTGTTTTAAATATAAATAATAAATTATAGTGTTTCTATTTTTAATTAAAATAGAAATACCATAAATATTCTAAATAGTCTGCGGCAACCAATGTAGCCTAAAGTCCATCCATGATACTAGGTGGTGTAGTTTGAACTTTAGTTTACTGCATAGAAATGTGGACGATAAAGCTATGACTATGTTATTGGTAGGTTCAAAAAGAGCAAAATTAAGGTAGCAACGTTGTTATCTACATATCGTAGTCGAAATCTGATATAATGTAAACGTCCATAAAGCACATTTTGTCAAATTGCTAAGTTAAAAGCATTTGAAATAAGATTAAATTGCTTTCAAATACCGAAGATACGGAATATATGTAAAATGTAGTTTACCCACAAGTCAATTTCATTGAGAAAAACATAAATAATTTTCAACTGAACAGTACGTGGTACGTTGCGTTTAATAAAGGGTGTGATTGGAAAGCTTTACTAAGCTTTAATCACATTTTTCTCGAATTAATATTTTTTTCAACAAATTTATAATATTTTAATTACCTATATAAACAGTATATAAAATGAAATTATACTTTATTTAAATATTTTTGTTTTTATTTTATGAAAATACTAAATGAAAAATTCAAAAGTTAAATGTTGCACCCTGTATTTAAAAGCTTTTGTGTGCAGATTTCCGCGCTTTTTTGTTGAAAGATATAGCTTTGCGTTATATTTTAATGCAACCCTCAATACGGAAGTTTTGATTAAACAATAGTATTGTATGTCGTGTAATACTCGCATTTCCATCTTTCACTCTCTCCCTCTCTCTTTCGCTCTGTAAATAAAATGTTTGTTTTTATTTTTTTTAATGTGTGAGCTTTTGACTTGTTGTTTTCAAATGTTAGTAGGATTTTACTAAACGTGACAGCCATGAATTTTTTATTCGATTTCCTTTTATTTGAGTTAATATCCGTATAAAAGCTTCTATGACATTGTTGTTGTTTAAAAATTAAGACGGGTATGGCGAACACTTGCAAACAGCTATGGGCGAGCGCTTAGTTGTATTTAAGGTTATAATTTATTATTTAAAATAGTTATAGAAAAAAATAATGTTTTCTGCCTTGTTTGCTATACCTATCATAATAAAATATAAACGTTTTTAGACTGTAGTCTCTCAGCAACTAACATTACCTTTATTAATATAAATCTATTTATCAATTTAATTTATCAATTTCCTAAAAGTCACAGTAAGACCTATTTGTAGGACCTGCTAGAGTTCTTGAAACTAGTATATGATTTCATCAATATGTCGATTTTAAACTCCTGGATTCACAAAAAATTTCTGCAGTAAATTTCAATGGTTTAGTTCTAAAATTTTAGACTAAACGCAAACTGTTTAGTTTACAGAACAGCTGTAAGAAAGAAAACTCCTCTCTATCTTTATCACGAACAGAATCAAAAAATGAAGTATTTGTTTATGGCTATTGTTTATTTGACTATGGTGACTGAACTTAAGTTCACACAAAAGAAACTAAAAACGAAAAACAGTTGACGAATTGTTCGTTTCTGTTAAATGAAACAATTTTATATTCAGTATAATGTTTAAAGACAATTATGCAGACAGAATATATTTTCTTAATAAAAACTAGTGGAACTACTGGAACTAATCGAAGGGTTTTTTAAAAGGTAGTGAATTATGACAATAAAATTTTTATTTTTAATTATTTGAATTTTTCAAACACCATTCAGGTGTTTCGAGTATTGCTACAAATCCATTATTTGTGTTGTTTTTAAAAACTATTTCTTATTCATAAGATATTCGTAAGAAAATTTTTTATTCGTAAAAAATTTTTTAAGACAGCAAGTACCAAGGGTCGACTTTTACCCTGTCAAAGCTAGTTACCCCTGTCAATGTCAGTTAGTCAATTGATTCAAAGCCGTACTTGACTTATATTGCTCTAATTTGTTCTTTTGAACATACCTTAAAATTTTATTAATAAATTCATTTACAGTGTTATATTAGAACGAAATTATAAATCAGCTATACTTTTTCGTTTTCGAAAAAGTGCATTTTCCTTTTTGAAAATGTGCATTTTCCTGTTCGGAAACTTCCATGTTTCTTTTCGGAAAAGTACTTTTTCCGATGAAACGAAACTGTTTTGTGTATATAGAAAAAATTGAAAAGATTTGTTGATATCCTATATAACTATCACTTCAGACGTGACTATATGCTATAAAATCTTAACAACATTATAGTGAAGGATCTATCAGTAAAAATGCATTTTTCTTTTTGGAAATGTTCATTTTCCCGTTCGGAAAATTCCATGTTTCTTTTCGGAAAAGTACTTTTTCCGATGAAACGAAAACGTTTCGTGTGTGCAGAAGCCATCGAAAAGATTTGTTGATATCGTATACAACTATCACTTGAGACGTGACTATATGCTATAAAATTTTAACAACACTGTAGTGAAGGATCTAACAGTAAGAGTGCATTTTTTTTTTCCGAAAAGTGCATTTTTCAATAAAAAGGAACCGTGTTCCATACAAAAGCCACCTAAAAGATATTGATATCATATACAACTAGTTCTATAGACGTAATAACTTAGGTTCCTTTTGTTCAAATACTATAAAATTCTTATAATAATGCAGGGAGGGATCTATTCTAAAACACCCTGTTTGTTTTGAAATTCATTATTTTACATAAGAAAACTGTTAAATATATATAAAAAAATTCTATATTCAGCAGATGAAGCAGGGAAAACTGTGCTAAATCTAATATTTTTTATAATTGCATGTGTTTAATAATTTTAAGTTGCCCACCTCTGTGTATAGCTTTTCCTTGATATCCAAATTTGTGCTTTCCTATATTTGTACAAGCACTAAAACGTTTTTACTGGAGCAAAAGCTTTAATAAGTGCAGCAAAATATTCAGCTGCAGTTTTCTTTTTGTGGTCAAAACATTCATATTTATATATTCCGATATAATTTAATTTAATTTCTTATTAAACAACTGCACTGAAAGTGCCTTAATATAAATAATATATATTTTATAAAAACAGAAATTCATATTAACAAATAGCATTGCCATAAATTATTTAGAATTGTATTTTTTATAAATGTCCGGTCGAAAGAAAAATAAACAACGGTTCTCATGCGATATTTGTGTGTAAATAATGACATAATAACGCCTTATCCTTGACGAAGTGGGTCTGTACTAATTCAAGTTTAACAGTCGTACTGAATTACTGTTGAATTCTAATTGTTCAATCAAAAGAAAATTGTATTTTCTGGTGAAAACAAAGTGCAGAGATATCAATTAAAAAAATCAATACCACGGCTAGACAACAATATTCGTACGGAAGTCTTGACTGCTGTTGCGTGTTGCATGGAACTCACGTCAAAATATTATAATATAATTATTATGTTGCCGTTGGCGGGAGGATTGGGAAATAATTCAAAAATGTTGGCAATCAAGTAGTTTGGCATAAAAGATATGCAAATTGTATGCAACGTTTAGTCATAGTAGTATAATTTTTGTAAACATGGTTGATCTGAACACTAATCCCTCAACGCCACCGGCAGCTGGGGAAAATTCAAAAATAAAAAGCTTGATGGGACGTACACCTGGTATTGGGGTACTCAAGTCGAAATTTTTAACAGTGTTAGGAAACAGTAATGAGTTATTGAACGGAATTTCAAATAAGGTAAGAAAAGTTCCAACATTTCACCCCATAGCTAGTGGCCTTGATATTGACCACTAGGCATTAATATGACATGCCAATTATATATATTTTCTTCTACTTTTTGTTTCACATCGTGTGTGTGCATGGGCGATTGTATTTCCTTTATTCTAATAATTCTTTGTCTGTTCATACGTTAACTGCTGAGCACTCTTAACCAAACAAGCACATGAGCTTTTCTTTCTAGGTCAATGGCAAGTTTATGGTCAAGGCTAAGGTTTACTAATATCTTTCGAAAAAACAAACAATACTAAAAAATATATTAAAAAATGAAATGATAAAAACAAATTTAGATAAACTGACAGGAAGTGTAATAAAAACGTAATCGTTCGATTACAATAATTGTGAAGAATTATAGTCATAAGCAAAAGTCATGCGATATTCGTCAATTTATACATATTAGAATAAACAGGACTGTTAGAAATTTTATATTCCACAATGAAGAATATTATAGTAAGATTGCTTTAAATCCAAAAGTTTATTTTTAATGAATAAATGATGTAAATTGAATAAAGTGAGCTGTTTCAGATAACGCAAAGTATCCACTATTAGTGTTCTTTAAAAACTTCTAATAGTTTAGTAGTCGGTTTATAATTTTAGCCATACAAATCTTAGGAATTGAAGTCTGTTAAATTTGCACTATGGGTTCGCGTAACAAAACCAACGTAAATTTTATTTTTTCAAATTTTAAATTTATTTGTCAACCCGTAAACAATAATTCAACTTTTGCTATATACATCACATCATTAAAAATTGTTGTTTTTGCAAATTAAATTACTTATGCTTATTCCTCTTTTTTCATATTTGGTTTGAACCAAATTCAAAATAGTTTTGTATATTAGTCTAATTTTTTTAACTTCAGAGTAGCAAAAAAATACTCGCAACTTACGAAAGAAGACATGTGAAATAACAATAATGCTCTTAAAATCTTCAGAGTTAGGTTTTACTCGCAAAAAATTTTAAGTCTTATGGTTCAGTGTAGCCAAATCAGTTTATTTTGAATGTTCACTAGAAATATGTTGCGAAATTTCAGTCATCCGTTAAAGTCTTATTAATATTTCATTTACTTATGAATTCAAATACATAAATAAATGAATAAATTAGAATATAGCAGATAAAAATGCTTATTATATATTCATCGTCTAATATTCATTTTGTCTTAAGTAGTTCAAAAACTCTAACTCAAAATTATCGTGTTCACTTAACTTACCGCACTGCCGTTCACTGCCAGTTGAGACTACGAATGGTTACACGAAGTAATTCTCCATCTCATGTAATGGTACGGACAGCTGTGACCGACGATATACACTCTCCAATCGTTTTTATCGAGCCTGGTGCCTGGTATCAAAGTCAATGCGATTTCTTATCGGGAAAATGTTTCGGAAGTTGATTTAGAGCCGTGGGGACGTAAACATTTCGGTCGTAGACCATGGACGTTCCAACAAGATTTGGCACCGGTCTCGCTTTCATAAAGCTCGTGTGAATCAGGAATGGTTCGCACAATAGAGTTTCGAATTCGCTAGATGCAAATTCGACAGACTATTCCAACTGCGTCGGGCCATTTTGGAGGTGTAAGGTGTGGATGTGCTGAAGAAAGCAATTGTTCAGTAATGAACCAAAATACCAGAAGATCACATATGTGAAGCATACAATTCATTTTTTAACCGTTTGAAAACTATAGTCAAGGCAAAGGGTGCCACTTCGAGCTAGAGTTAATGGATTTTGAAATTTTGATTGTTTTCCCAAATTTTTGTAATTTGAATCAATAAAATTAATTTCACACAAAAAAGATATGGTCCCTTGAATAGGTAATACTTTAATCGTCTAACCCTGTATACGTACCAATTTTGGAAAACTACTACGGCTTTTAGAACTGCCAAGATAGGTGAATTGCACCACATAGTGGTATCTTATCGATTAATATTACTAGTATTCTGTTTTTCGAAACTATTCGAAGCACTACTTTTAAAATGTTGCACTCAGTTGCTGAAAATAGAAAGCTAAAAATGATCTAATTAATTCGGGTTTTGAAGTAAGCCTTCAGTAATAAATCAAGTGTGTATGATATATTATAAAATAGAAGACGCTTTCTAAAAAAGAAAACAACAGTTTTCGTAGATGTGTCGCAGATGTGGGATCTGCTATTGGATATGAAGCTTAAGCCAATTAAGATTAAATCGATTTTATGAGATAGTCGTATTCTAATTTAAAGGTAAATATATATGTATTAAAAACGAAACGTATATACGGAGTTTAACAAAATCATTGTTGAAGTAAATGACCTATTATATTATTAGACAAATATTTAATGCCGAATAAGTCAGTGACAGCCCGTTTATTTGAAAATAAGATTTTGCCTATTTGTACATTATTCATATGGCTTAGAAGCGATAATGAATAAAAATAATACAAAGCATGAACGAGTAGAAACTGAGAGAATTTGGCTAGCGTTAGGTTAGTGTTAGGTATATAAAGCACCGCGACTAGGAGATCTGCCATGTACAAGCATTATCCTAAAAAATCTTATTCAAGTCCTGTTATCCTTAAAAACATTGCTAATTCTTATTTGTCTGTTATTTAATTTGTTATATATTTATTTTATGTGACAGAAGAACGCCAAATGCTTTACAAGACGAGTACATTCTATATATTATATTAATATATATATGACCGAAAATGAAGTTGGAACGCTAAACATTATTTAATTAATTTTGTTAATTATCTTAAATTATTTGGATATTTTGTGAATGCAGAAAAACAATATAGAAAATATTAATTATTTTTTTTCAAAATTTTATGTATATTAAAAGATTATAAATTGTTAACTAAAAAAGTTTATATAAAATGTAATCTTAAAAAACTAAAAGAAAAAACTTTATTTGAAATCATTAGATCCTAACAAAATTTGTGTCTATTTTATTTTTATTTTACTTAATTATTTTTAGCAACATTAAAGACCTTTTTTGATTCTATATCGTTTTAGCTCACATTAAGCATCAGTTCCAGCGACTCGGATTATTGTGACGATGATGAAGAAGTTCCAAAATGTAAAATTATTTAGAGTTATTTATTAAAATAAATTTTAAGACTAATAAGCTACTTTTTTATAGTTGATGAAACAATTGATTACACAAAAATTGATTTTGAGTCTCGTCGCATGAAGGCTCGTCGTGCACATGAAGAAATCATATCAGGTGAAAGCGAAAGTTTCTAAAATATATATATATATTATTTCTACTTTTAATCAGTATATTATAACATTATCTGACTTTTTAGGTCGTTATCGGCATCCGAATTTAGCACCTAGTGAGTGCCAATAATATATTTTTTCATCATAATTATAATATAAATATTTCTGTTTAAAATAGGACCTCGCTTAGAAACAACAACTGCCAAATCAAGTGGCTCATCATCAAGTTCGTCATCATCATCATCGTTATCATCTTCATCCATATCAATACCAACAAATATAATTGATCGTTCACACGTTAGTAGTACAACACGTTCAAATTCCATAGAGTCACGTCATTCCGGTGGTTATGGGCGTCCTGGACGCGCAATTCCAGGTGCACGGCGCAGTGATCTTGATATTAAAAAGGATCTGATAAAAATTAATGATTTCCTTAGTACTGGCCACAACGTACTGCAAATCGATGTACAACAAGTAGATGAAAAACATAATAATCTCGATGTACACCAAAACATCGCTAATACAACAATGACTAATATAGTGCCTGATAATGCAATACATTTACCTGCACGTAGTAAGATTTCGAATAGTAGTACAGTTACTAGCTTGCGTGATGATCCCGAAATGCAGATAAGTCCGAGTGTAGAATCAACCGACTGGATAAACTTTATACGTTCTGAATCGCAAAACTCTGTACCTTCATGGGCATCGTCGATTAGTCTCGATTGTCGTGCAGGTGAAGAACCAGTTAAAGATTTTATGAAATCTTTCACTGATGTATTATTTACTAATCCTTCACTTATTGGACTCGAGCTCAAGAGTGAATTTGGTACAATTGTGGGCTTAGATGCAGGTCGTTTATGGTTTATACGTTTCCTATTGGAACACAAAAACGAATCAAAACGTGTCGATGAAATGACATTTCATTCATTAGTGCAATATTTTTCAATCGTATTATTCGAGTGCGGGGAGTTTGAGGATTATGGACCTGCCACAATTATCATGAATCTCTGTTTTTTATTCTACCATGAAAGTAATTTTAATAAGTATAATATTTTTTTCATATTGCAAATATTTCATTAAATTTAGTTGAAGTACCTGGTTGCGATCCATATTTTGAATACCTTTTCACTTATATGCGACAGCAGCCAGTGTGGAATGCTATACGTTTCTGGAATGCTGCTTTCTTTGATACCCTTCAGAGTAAACGTGAACAGCTTTTGTTGCTCAAAATCAAACGTGCTGAAAAACGTCGAAAAAATAAGGAACAAGCACAAGTGGCTAAGGTGGATGTACCCATTTCCACCGAAGAAGATGAACAAACAAAATTACATATTGTTACCGATCAGCGTCATTTAAATGCCGAAAACGATGCATCCACATCTAGTTCTTCGCATCATAACAACATTGTGACTAATTCCAAACGAGTGTCTACAAAAGGACAGAAAAATGTACAAGCCGAGACAGAGAAAGATCAGCAGAGCGAACTTCGTATGTACGAAAATGTTGTATTTCGATTGTTGAGGTAAGTATCTCAATGCCTTCATATTGTACATAGATTAATCTCAACTTGAAATTGTTTTCTAGTGCCTTTACTTGCAACATGCACTCATTGGGTATTCCCCAGGATTTGTGCTTAGATTTTTTGAAAAAACAGGCAACAAGTTGTAATCTACCAAAAGGTAAATTTTAAAGCTTGAAATCTTTCCAAAACAACGGAGTTGACACTTAATATAATTAAGATTAATAATAATTGAATAATATAATTCAATCTTTCACTTCTTAGTGTCCATTTTCCCTAGTAGGGTATAGGGTCGCAAATCGTTTCGGTTTCATTCAACAAAGTTTCGTTACTTGAACTTTGCATCTCTAGCACCGTAGTGCTTCCTGCTGTGGCAGGGGGATTTTATACATAATATTTGAAACCCCTTAAAGTTAGAATTTATGCCATTTAATATTTATGTGTTCCCTGAACAGTAACTTACTTTTCAAATCTGAGAACTGTTGTTCATCTCTTTGATTCCTTCACCGTTTTCTCTTCTGCATTCTCCTGTCGAAACAATATGCAGCGCTGAGCAAAACCTCTAATGGTCTAATGGGTATGATTAAGACCGCTTATGTGAGGGATTTGGTCCGCAGGAGGTGTTTCATTTCCCTTCTGCCACCTTTATCTGGGAAAAAATTGTTATCCGTCATCTACGACGCGCCCTCTAGGGATTTTAGGCTTTTCCCAGGAAAAATATGATTTCCTCTTCGAATAATTATATATTTTTTAATATATACAATAATATAGTACAATAACATATTTTTGTAAAATTCATTAACAAAAATAAAAAACTAATATTTTTGAAAAATATATTTTGTATATAAATATATATACGACTAATAACTACTACTTATTATGTATTGACATTGTGCTGTCAACTTCTCTACACTAAGAATGAAAAATGTTATATCATTCGTAATAATTTAAATGAACTGTTTATAAGCCTAGCACTTCACGAAGAGTTCCAACTTATTTCCCTGCGTGAAATCATCTTTTTTACTTTAACTACACATAATGTTGGAATAATTATTGTATAAAATCTTGCGAAAAATTATTTTTAAAGTTAACTAAGCATGAGGAACTGGACTGCTTGGTCCTTCACCCTGTGCTTATATTCACGTCAAGATATCTAAATTTTATTTAATATATTTATGGGTGGGTGTAGCTTTATTATATTGTAGTCGCTATTCCTGTTTGCGTTCAAAAGGCTGTGACAATTTTGGGAACTACATGTAGCACATAAATCTGATCGGTTTTGTTTTGCGTTTTTGTCAAAACACCATTAAAAATAATTTGGATTTTTAGAGGGATGTACAACCAACATGTCCCAAAAAAAAAAATGTAGATGTATTCTACATTTATGTATGAGCTATCTCATAAAATACATAATATATAATATATATTATAATATGTATTATAATATTATAATACATATTATTATATATATTATATGTAATATATAAAATATAAGCGTATAGTATTTTATACAGTATAATATAAATAATTATATTTAATTATAATTAAATAAACAAATGAATATAATAAGAATAAGAAAATAAATATTATTTATGTAATATAAAAATTAAATAAAATATATTAAATCAATAAAATTAACAAAATAAATAAAAAAATGTGAAAAAGAAACAAATAAAATATTAAAATTAATTTATCTATATAAACTAATATATAATATAATATAAATGAAATAAATAATATAATTGACATAATAAGAATGTATGAAACAATAAATAAATAAATGTAATGAATTAAGTAAATAAAATACAATAAAATATATAAAAAATGAATTAAATAATTAAAATAAATATAATAATAAATATAATAAATAAAATCAATAAAAATAATTTATTAAAGTTGTAAAATAAATAAAATGTATAAAATAAATAAATTAAATTAATTTATATTAAATCAACTAAAACTAATATAAAAAATTAAATAATTATGTGTAATATAAATGATATAAGAATAATTATATAAATAAAATAAATAATAAGAATAAAAAAACAAATAAATCAAAAAATTAACAAAAAATTTACTAAATTTAATTTTTATAATTATATATATTTAAGGATATAATTATAATTTCAATTTTTTTCTCTTTTAAATAGATAAATTCAAACTAGTCAAGGATAACATTCATCGTATGTATCACGAGACAGATTTGTGGGGCGCTAAAGTCTCCTAAGCTTTTACACTTTTTTAATAGAGTAGTTATAGTGAATAAAACAATTTTCAAATTTTATATAAAAAAGTTAAAACGTTAAGAAAATTGATTGCAATTATTGCCTTGTTTACATATGATATATATATATAATAATTTAACGAAAAAAAAACATCAAATGGTATACCTAATACTAAAGTACGAGAGAGACGTCAATAAGATTTTTAAAAAAAAAAATCGTTCTTATATTTACTATCAGATTTTAAATTTGTAAAATACAAAATTCTTTTGCTCTGAATATATAATAAACAAAATACAATATTAATTATAATATTAGTAATTATAGTAATTGCGTTTCATTAATTTTTTAACTTTTTTTTTTTGTACATTTATAATTAATTTTATAAAATCAGTATTATTGTAAAAAAAGTACGAGAAGAACTTGCATTTTTTCATCATCTAACAAATATTTTATAAATTATTTAATTTTTGTTTTTTTTTTTTGAAACAAATATATATCGCAATATGCATAATATCTGATATCGTTCAGATATCGCAATTTAAGATTTAGTGAATGAATAAGAACAGGCCTTTGAACAAAAAGATATATTATTTAACTGTAAGATATTTAATAGAATCCATTTTCTGTTTATGTTATAAGATTTTTAATATTTATTTAAAACCTTTGTAGTATTTTTAGGCGTATTCTTATAAAAGAAAACGCTTAAAATAATTGTTGCTTTTTTTTTGGATTATAATATTATTAAAACCAATTTTAAATTATACATATAGAATTATTTATTTTGTGTGAAGTTACTTTTGTTTTTTTTTTTTGCTGTTTATATTTAGCATTCATATAATAAAAATATACGTCTATGTCTTTTTATTTATTATTTTTTTTGTGAACTTTTGTTATTTTCTTATTATGGACTCTAAAGTCTTCTATAGATACCCTTGAATGGTATTACTCGAGTATATATGACTGATTCAGTAGAGTTGAAATGAATGTAATATTTGATACTACACTGGCTTCCAATACCTGTAAGCTCAGTTAAGTTAGATTTATATATTTTTAATCATGGTTGAAAACACGCTTTTTATTTAACATTGTAGATTTTAATAAAAATTGACATAAATATTTAATTAAAAAAAACAACAAAGGTGGAAAATAAATAAAAAGTTATATAGAAAAAACTAATACAATTCAACAATATAATTTTCCTTTTTGTTAAATATTCAAAACAAAGGCTCTTCTTATTAGCGATAATATAATCAAGATAAAATAAAGATATAGCTGTATATTCTATTTTAAAATTCTAAAAAATAAAAAATTTATAAAAAAATTCTTATTGAAATACTCTGAATAATATTAAAATGTATATTATATGTAAAAATGTACTTTATTATATAGGTATGGTGAAGTGGAACTTGCTCGGTGATAAGTCATATTCGGTGATATGATTTGAACATTTACACATATGTGTGTGTACCTAAAAACATATTAAAATTTATTCAACATCCTTTGGGGAAAATTATAAAAAAAAAATAATATAATTATTTGTTAAGTTATTGAAGGTATCTCTTCAAACTTTTTAAACAATTGACATACATATACAGAAGTTTAGTGTCTTTAGAACTTAAAGTCACTAAAGTTTAACTTTGACAGATTCTAAACGAACTGATCTGATCGCACTGTAAGTAATGTTATATTATCATATAACATATATCAAAATATACAAATATTGAAAAACTATTATATCTTTTCATAGTTAGAAAATTTAATAATTAAATATTTTAAAGTACACAGACTTTAAAAATAAAAACCTTTGATGATTAAAAAGTTGGGTTTACCGAAGATTTCAATGAATTGTGATAAATTTGTTTGTGATTTACTTAAATACATTAGCAAACAACTTTGAACATTATCAGTACGTTACAAATAAAATAGAAACAATAATATTTATAAAATATATTTAGTGATTTCTTTATCCTAAACTGTGGTATAAAATTTTAAATTTGTATTAATCAAGTTGAACTAAACTAATAACGAAAATTTATTGCCTCATATAATTCCGTCAAAATATTTTATCTAAGCTTTTTATTTATTATGCTGTCGATTATTGTGATGTTTCTTACTTATTATATATGTATGTATATATATTTAAATATATCAACTCACCTATTTATTTAAAATGCGTTTCAATATATTACAAATTTTTTCAATAATTAAGTTTGGTTGGTTTATTAAACTACAACTAAAGTAATAATAACAGAAAAAATAACAGAAGCTAGTAATTTAATTATTTTTAAAATAAAAAAAAAACGAATTTGATAATCAAATGAGGTATTAGTAATACTATAATAAATATAAATAATTTTGTTTTTTATATGATAGTTAAATATTGTAGTACATTATTCAAATGTGAAAAAGAAACAAATACTTTATGTTAACTGATGTTACGCGATGGTTACTTTATACTTACTTTAACTATATTCTAAAATCAATTGAAAATAAAATAAAATTTACTTGAATAATTTTATTTAATTGTCTTATTTGTCTTAAACGGGGAAAGACGTTTATTATGCAGTCAGTAGTGACATTTGTTTTTGATTATTTGGGGTTTTTTTAAATAATTTGAATTTCGAACAAATCGAGTTTTTCAAAAAGTCCTAAAATAGGAATATATATAATAGGAATAATCTAATGAATAATTAACCATTTCGATGCTCTTTGAAGAGCTATTCTACAAGAGACTAATGCCTATTATAGAATCCGAAAATCTAATACCAAACCATCAATTTGGTTTTCGTGGCAAGCATTCGACTATAGATCAAGTACACCGCATTGTCGATGAAATTTAAAGGGCTATTGAAGGTAAAAAAATGTGTACTGTTGTATTCTTCGATGTCGCAGAGGCTTTCGACAAAGACAAAGGTCTTCTGAATAAACTAAAAACGTATTTGCCGTCGTTATATTTAGCGATTTTGAAATCTTACATTACCACGAGATTTTTTTATGTAAAACACGAAAACTGTCACTCAAATCTATCTGCGATAAAAGCTGGTGTACTTCAGTGGACCTACTAATAACACCTGGAAGTAAAATTGCAACATTTGCAGATGATGCTGCAATTTTGACGATTACTGAAACCGCTGAAGAATCAAGAGCCGGTTGCTGATTTGTAATTTCCCATAGCCGCTCATTGCATGAGGTTCTCGGCCATTAAATGTTTAGGATCTGACGAAAGCATTTGTTAACGTATGTCTGCAGTTTTTGTGAAATCGAAGACGTAACAAGCCACGAAGTCTGTCCAAAGTCTATTGGCTATGTGTGCTGAAGGTGGTACCTTCTGTTGTTATAATGCTGTGAAGGTGTTAGATGTGGCGTTGTGTATGGATTTTGTCTTAGCAATATTAGTGTTAAGACCCACTATTGTACATTTAGTTGAGAGATCTGTAATTTGGGCTTGGATATTAGCGTTCTAAAGTGTGGTGTACTGATCTAAAGTGTGCATATTTTATAATTTATACGTGGTTACGGTATAAATAACTTAGGGGTACTTCCAACTTATTCGACCCAAATCCGAGATAAGATTCTTCTAAGAATTGAAACAAATCGTATGAAAAGCATCTTTGGGGAATACTTCAAAATTTAACTAAATAAAAACAAAAAAAAATTTTTTTTTGTCTGCTATTTTACTATTAAATGTAGTTTTTTTAGTCTTTGTTGACTTTAAAATTAAATATGTTATAGTATTTATTATTTATTTTGCATGCCAGACTGTCCAGCTTCAATGACGCACAGAAGAAACTTGTTTCATATGGAATTTCTCTCACCAAAACAGATTAAGAACTCTTCTCTAGATTTAGTTCTGGACTTAGTTCACAAAGCTTTAAAGAACTTTGTGTAGTCAATTGTGAAATTGGTACAATTGGACTCTTCTGGCTGTAGTATCGACTATTGGGCGATTTCACGCCAAAGCTTTAAATAAAAATACATAATAATATTTATTTTGCATTATTTTAATTATTTTTGTATATTAATATTGTTTTGTTTGGTCTGTCCGAAGTGGTAGATTGTCGCCTCTGCAAACAAGACATTTAGTCATATTCTCTGTGACTGCCCAGCCTTGATTTGGGTCAGAAGGAGATTACTGGGTAGAGAACTACTCTCCCCTTCTGAAAGAAGGAGGTTCTCAACGGCTGACATTCTGGCTTTCATTCGGAAGGCGGAATGTCTTCTATTCGGTTACTGTCTGTTGCAGCACAAAAGATCAATAATGGTCGCAGTGCTCCGCTCTGTTGGGAGCTGGTACCCTATTTATTTCTATTCTATATTATTTTAATATTATTTTGTTATTTATGCAACTAGTATATTCATATTTTTCGTTTATTCATATTCTATATTTTTCTATATTTATATAGTTATAACTACTGAATTATATAAACATAAACACACAAACATAAAATAGATCGCTGAAATGTAAAGATTATTATTTTTTATTTTTATTTTTTATGTTTTTTTTATTATTACATCTGCCTTAAAGGAGATGGTAATAAGTAATTGGAACAAAAGGATAATATCAAATCATGGGGCCTGTATGTTTATATTCACGGCTTTGATTTCTAAAATATAGATGTATATTTAAGAGAAAAAAATTAGTACACCAATATGGTTTTATTAAATCTTTTTTATTAAATTAAATTTTTCATTTTAATGCGATTATCAAGATTTATTAACAAAGAAATTTTTTTTTGCTAAAAATAAAATGCTCATGCACAGTTCCATCCGCGGGGTGATCATAAAATACTGAGTACTTGCGATATGTTATACTTATGAGTAGTTGGAAAATTTCCTGATTATATATTAAATGAAATTTTTTTACAGAGTTCAGATTGCCTTCTTCATGAATAACATTTATTCATATTTAATTGTTATATTTTATTGTACTCGTGATTTAAATTACTTGCAAGTTTAAATAGTAGAAGAAATTTACATAAATTGTATTTTATTTAATAACTAAGAAAACACAGAGTCAAATAGACATTTAATAATAATAAAACATAGCTTATAATGATGTGCAACTAAAAGGATTTAGTTCAATTACTCCAAAAATTTGTTTAGCCTTAAAATAATTTAAAGGAACTGCTGACACAAAAATCGAATGACTCCTTGAACAATGTATTTGTAATTTTTAATTAAGCCATACTTGTTTTAAAACAATTTCATGAAAAAATAATTGAATGTATTTACAAAATTAAATATAGCAAATTAATTAAGTAAGTATTTATTTAAAAAATAAACGCATATACAAAACAATTTGAAACAAGGATACAACTTTTGCTACAGCAGTTGTGGCGTATTAAAAAAGAGCAAGAACCAATTAACGTATTTACGAAGTACAGATATACTTTATAATATATATAACATTAAAACAATTTTAACATTTAATGGGTAAATAAAAATTAAAACATTTTTGCAAGACAAAACATTTTCACTTTTAGAAGATACAAGAACTTAACTAAAAAAGAAGTTAATTATAATTTATATTCGTATATTATAATTAAGTTGGTTTTTTTTTGTTTTTAACTTCTTAAGTTTATAATTATTTTTAATAAACAAACGATGGACCCGAATTTATATTAAGTTATGGACTTTTATAACATTTGCAATATTGCTAAAAAATTTTATTCAGTTTAATTAAATTAATCAATATGTTTTGCAGTTGAAAGTTTATCGCTGGTAAGTTGCAATAAAGACGAGGATGTTGTTACTGTTGTTGTTGTAGGCAGTATCAATACTCTAATCAATATAGAGTTGGAATACGACAGAACCCATACGGTCACGATTGCTTCCACTGTAAATGATATTTTTAGCCCAAGCGCGGCATTCGACTGTCACCATTTCATTGACTTTTGGTTTTTCGAATTGTACAGCGATCAGAGGACTTAGATAGCCAGGCTGATTTAAGAATGGGTAGTAGTAAGCAGCAAAACCTCGAGATGGATAGTAATTGATTGCTCCCATTTTCTCTTTATCGTTTGAATGTTGACCATGACAAGAAACCCAAATTTGTTGACGCTATAATTGTAAAGAATATATAAATTAGATCATAAATTTGATTTATTAACTTATAAATTTTTATATATTCAAATACGAATATATGGATTTAAAACTTAATAGCTTAAAAATGTTCTCGGTGTTAGAAGAATTAATATAATATATATATATATTAATATAATATATATAATATATATATATATATTAATATAATATATATAATATATATATATATTAATATAATATATATTATATTAATGTAATATATATCGTTGTAAACAAATACCTAAACAGCAAATGTTTAAAAATCACAATGCTCAAAGTATGGAACAGTTGGTAAATATGTTTTCTATATATTCTATGTATATTGTTCAAAATATAGTTAATAACAATGAAGTTCATACCAACATACATCTAAAAGTCGTAAATACTACAGAAATTATTCACAGTAGCTAATTATAAATTCTACATTATTCAGTTCTTGATATTGAACCAATTAAATATTGTTACATATACACAGGCTGCTGGTAAGATATTTAACGGGTCACCACGGACTTCGTTATTATCTTAACAAAATGAACAAAATGGGTCTGTCCAAAGAGATACATTGTCGACTCTGCTTAGAAGTAGACAAGACTTCCAGTCACATTCTTTAGAATGTCTGCAACGGCTGACATTTTTGCTTTTATTTGAAGGGCGGATTGTCTTCTGTTTGGTTAAGATCTGTAGCTGCACTAAAGAACAACTATGGTCGCTCTTTTCAATTATACAGCAATTGAACATTTCCTGAAAGTATATATACCATCTTTCGTACAATTGATGATATATATAGATAAAGGAATGTTGTGGTGTTTATGCATGTTTGCATTGGAAGCATAAAATGAAGCATTTACTATAGTTTGCCTTGATAAACAGAATCAAAATATGTTGATATAAAATAAAATGCTTTTCATTAACTCAAAAGTTAAAATCAGTAGGCTTTTTACAATCCAAATACCTATACAGCACTATATAGCTAGCATTCTTTGAAATTTCTGAATGTTCTATATAACTGAAGCCCAGCAGATTTTCCGGTGTAAATGGCAAACCAAATTAAGTATTTTGGTTTGCCAAAATATTCAATTTAAGTAAAAATTGAATACTTGAATATTAAATATTAAAATTAAAGACAGAATAAAGCCAAATATTAGTTGATTAAAGTTTGGACTATGCAGCAGTAAATAAAGTATGGAACTGCAACTAAGACATATATTCAAATCTTTAACGCGACATCTATTCTGCTTTGTGGATAAAGACCTTGGCACGTATGAAGCACAACGCTGCGATTACTCGTTAATTGATAACTGAGATGTATATAAAAAACTAACAAGATATATAAAAGTTTATTATCCTAGCACATCTACATTCCTATTAGTAAAATTTAGATATTTATACATAATCTCAAGATTTTGCGGTTATTTTTGAGAAAAGGTAACAAAATAATTTTCTTAGAAAAAATTTTAAAATTTTTTCTTATTTTTATATTTAGATATATATATTAGATATTTATATATAGATAGATATTTACACATAGTCTCGAGATTACTAAAATTTGACACTTAAAAATGAAAACTTTAATAAGTTTAACAATATTTGACCATTATCTTACCTCCAGTTGTGAAACATTTCCAATGTGTTCTTGTAAATCAATTGGCATATTATCAGGTAGATGTTGTGGATCATCATAATATTGTGGTTCCCAGCCAAAGATTTTATTCAATTTAAGAAAAACACATGGGCGTCCATTTTTATATCCATAACTATTTTGTTTCGTGCATGGGCCAAAGCTGTCTATATCAACAAAACACACTTGTTGTGAATTATGTGTGCTATTAAAACCACAAATTTTCGATTGTTTATCTCCATTTCTATTACTGTAACCTATTTAAAAACAATAGAATTAAATATATTAATATTCAGATAATTTTTTTTTACTATTAATAGTTAACTCACTGTCTAAGAAATCATCTAAAAGGGATACCCAATACTGTCCTTCATCTGGTTTTTTCGTATCGAATTGTATCACAGAGCCACGTTCTGTTTCTTCACTTAATGGTCGGAAACCTAAACCAGGATTTGTTCCGATCAATGAGTCTTTCAATTGTCTTAAAGGCGTTTTATCGTTTAATGCAGAGAAAAGACCTTGCATACAAGTAGCAAATAAACCAGCTAATATAATGTAGAATATTATATAAAAGAGCATTAGTTGACCTGAAAAATAGGAAAAGAAAATGATATTAATTATTATAAATTAATTAATAGATAAATAAACATAAATAGATATAAAATAAACAGTGATTTATAAATATTTTTCTCAAATTGTATAACAAAAAGAGATTATTAAGAATGAATTAATTGGTGACAGGATTTTTCAGGATATGTGTTAGGAAAGTGAACCATATATAAACATGGTTCACTCATATTAGATCGACCATCATATTAGATGGTTCACTCAGCGACAACAGTTATTTGATTTTAAACAATCTTTAATTGTACTAAAGTCCATTAAAAGTATATTCTTTAACTGATACGTAAACATGAACAAAAACCCAAAGTGACTTCATCACTACACTTTGGAGACAAGACGGTAATTTAAAGCCAACCAAAGCTTTATTTTAGAATATAATTGTATAATATTGCTTGAAAAGATAAAAACTATTGACAGAAGTAGTAAACATTAAAAGCATTAAAAAAGGATTAAGAAGTACTATTTAAACAAGATAATGAGACTGTGTCACAGATTATTTATATCTATGGTCATAGTATACGAATTATGGATTAAATTGTAATTATATCTGATGTATTCTTTGGGTTTCTTTACCATTTATTACCAACTGTTCGAAAAATTAATAGAACGCATCGCGTGAAGTATAATCCATCGAATGAGGAAGATTTCCCTGATCTTCTTTAAGTAAGTAAGATGTAGAAATGCTAGATTATGTAAAAAAATTGAAAAGATTCTATTTGAATAAACAAACTAATGAGTTCTTAAATATAAAATAAACAAAAATATCTTAATAAAGAATTTTGCATGCTTTTGAATATGCCTTTGTTGTTGTAACCCGAAGAGTCCTGTTAGGTCGTCTAAAAAGATGAGGTGGTTCAAGATTCATCTGTAGACTAAAGTAAACTTTAGCTTTCTGGCTTGAATTCTAAATAATTTTAAATATGTAAGCTTTCTGTAAAATACAACCAAAATATAAAATTGTATAAAATGTCGTAACTAACACTCGAGATTTGAACTTGATCTATTACCCAGTGTATTTAGATCAACCTTTTTTAGGCCAGTATTTCTAAGAAGAAAAACATAACGAATTTGATTAGGAAATTTTTTTACCGATGAGACTGTTTTGATCGATGGAGATGGCATTCAATTTTAAGTCTATGCACTTCCACAAGTTTTTTTGGGTGAGCATCTCAGCACTCAGAAAGTTATGGTTTATGTTTTCAATCCTTAATAAATAAAATTATTTATTAATTAAAATCTATTATTAATTAATAAATTATTCATTAATATATTATTCATTAATAAATAAATAAATTAATTAATTTAATAAATTAAAATCGAACATGATGGCTTTTGATTATTTCTATCTATGTTACTCTGATAACAGTAAAATTTGAATATCACACCTCAACCAGTCCATGAAAAATGTGAAGAGGATTGGGTCAAGTACTGCCATAGTTTTATTGCTTCTCATGGGGCTTGTTTTAAAGGTGACAAAATAAATTTTGTTCATTTATGATATTTTGAAATTATTTAATTTATTTTAAAGTATGTTTTGTACATAATTGAATTATAATTTTTTTTTGATCTTTTTGATTATTTGGTTTTGCTCTTCGAAAGATATTTACAATAGATTTAAATTTATTTGAAATTGGTTAAGCCATAATTATAAAGATACTTGAAAATATTTGTTTAATCTTCTGTGAATTGTTATATTTAATAAAATATTTGTACATTTTGCATAGAACGTGTAAAAATTCAAAAATTTATTGTGGAGTTAATAAATTTTTTATATCCACAGCGCTTCAACGTAATTACGTGACAAGGAGACCACAATTCTATGGAACTTGAGTTGTTAAATAAGTTTATTTAGCATAATAAAGTGAAGAATTAAGTGAGGTCGCTCTCAAAATATTTTCGTCAAAGTTAAAGTTATAGTGCCTGCTCATATATTGTAGTTTGTTTATTGAACTTGAAACTAATGAAGTAGAAAAACATAAAGAGAATGTTTATAATAAGCCAAAAGAATGTTTGAAACCGTATCTTAATGTTTATTATACCCCTCATAATTTTTTTTTGTGCTTATTATACGATATAACACTAGACAATAAAATTTATAGCTTAAAAATAAAAACAATAGCACACTGAAAGCGAAGAGTTAAGTAAACTCGCAATCAAAACGCGATTGAGAAAAAAAAAGGATGATTGAAGATCACTTATTAAAGATCTTTGCATTTTCGAGAAATATTGCTGATGATTGTTTTTATTGTCAATATTAATATTAATAATACAGTCAAACTCCCATAAATCGAAGTCCAATTTTGCAAAGAAAAGGTTCGACTTATGGAGACTTCGAGTTAGAGAATTTTTTTATTTTTTTTTTATTTTTGAAAGAAACTAGAATTACATTTTAAGATATTTATTTATAGGCAATCAAATAAAGCACAGAAGTTATTATGGTATAGTGAAGTAAAATATTCAGAAATTAGAGTTTGGAACTTTAATTTTTTTCATATTTTTAGTAAAAAGAGATTCCACTTTATTCATACTCTTATAGTGATCATCAGCTGTGGTATTATTCGTTTGCAAATATAAATTCAGAATTTTGAATGAGTCTTCTACTTTATTCGTGAAAGGCTGATAAACAAAAACATCCACCGAACCCTCATCATCACTTTCCGTTGCGCTTAGAATTCGGTCCAGTAATTTAGAGCTATAGTGCTTAATAATATCGTTATCTGTAGGAAAACGATGTACAAATTTCATTGTCAAGCTTAATATAATCGTTAAGAGCAGCATTAGAAGTTATTTTATTAACTTTAAACCACGCTGCCATTTTCGGCTGGCATTTGCACAAAGAAGCAATACAAGAAAGAAAAAATCAAACGTTTGATTTGGAAAAAGGGCCTTCCCCAAACAGTAAAATGTATTTATACTTAAAACAAAAGTTCGACTTATAGAAGACACTTTCCCCATATTCTAATCGGCACGAAACAAAATTTTTATTCGAGATATAGAGAAATTCGAAATGGAAGCAGAATTGTATGTAATTTGCTCTCTGAAGTTTTGGTGCACTGTTTTTGGTTCGAGTTATAGAAGTTCGAGTTATGGTAGTTTGATTGTATTTTTGAGATAAATAGTCAAAATGTACTTAGAATTAGAAAAGAATAGTTAAATGAATAACATATACATATGTATAGATGGCAGACGGCTAAAATGTCATAGCTGTAAGCGTCATATATATAACATAATTGTTATAAATTTCTGTGTTTTAAAATGATAAAAGATCATAATGAAAAGGAAGTATGAATAACTAGAATAGATTAATATTGTTATTCGTAATAGTGTACATAGTGCTAGAATATAATTATTACGATAGATGAAACCATAGACGGCCATAGTAGGTAGCGAAGGAACTCAAATAATAGAGTGAAACAGATACAATTGATATATCTTTATTAATATAGTCTTTAGAAAGTATGAGTTAATGTTCATTAATTGCTCATTATGTCTAAATTATTGCTGTTGTATATGTATTCTTTTTTAAACTATCTTACAATCTAATTAGGCTTAGAGAATAAGTGAAACTCTTTTCATTTTCAATCAAAAATATTTATATATTTTTTCTTTATATACCGTGAATGATTTTAATTTGAATTGATATCCTAGAGATGGAAATCCTAAGGAGAAGAATAAGATAACAGCGTTAGCAATGAATTGTCTGATGCATATAATTGGAAAAATTCAAGGTATGGAGTAAGAAGTACCTATTATAAAAACTCAAATCAAACCGAAATTGAAATAACGTTTATTGATATGATACCGCCCTATGCTCTTATAGGAGATATAGTTTTTTTTTGATTTATTTTATTTTAATGCAAACTGCCAAAGACAATGAACAATATTAAGTGTAAGTGGCTAAATACTTAAAATGATTGTGGACTTGAATGGGCTGTGCTCAGTAGCACATCCGTCTGTTGAAGTCGGTCACAGATTAAAGTTCCTGTAGCTTTTGGAGCGATAGCTTAACACACATCTGGGTATTTGTTATCAACAAGAAATTAAAAAATAAAAAATTAATTGATATGATCCTATATGCCAATCCCTGGAATACCGTAAACTCCTGAAAGGACTGAACCGAATGAAAAATGAACACAACAAGAGTGTAGTGGAGGAAAACGATTTTATTTAAAAAGAGGAATAATTATTGAGATGTTTTCATTATTTTGTATAGTATTTACATTTTTGAAAAGATCTTGTGAAATTTTTAAAATTAAATTTAATGAAATACAAAAATTTTCCTCTCAACTTATTTATTTATTTGAATGCAAGTGACATTATGTTATACTGATTCCATATGTATATATGCATTTCTATAGTAGGAGCAATACGGCAATATATGAAACCGTTTTTGGAATGCGTTTCGATTAAAATGTAGTTAAACTTGTCAATACCGATTGCAATGTGACTTGTACTCGTAATTCCATATCCAATGCCAATGTCAATGCTGAATTCTCGTTTTTTGCTATCGTTGCGAAAGTTGCAGCAATTCGTATTAGAAATTCAATTAAATGAAAATCCCTGCTAACTAAGCAGTTTGCTAATGCAGTTTGCCTACATATACATAATACGCATATGGAAGTGTATATCTAAAAAGTAGAATGGCTTTTGAATAGTTTCGGTATTGGTTTTTAATACTTCAAGTAATGTCTAGGAATTAAAGTTTTCAAATTTTTGTTCTTTAAATATTTTCTTTCTCAATAACAAAATTATTGCCAACCATTAATTATACATTATATAAATTTATATACGTCTTTGATTGCAATTTGTTGACATAATTTTTGATATGAATTCGTTTAAGCGAAATATTAAATTTCTTGGAAGTCATCATAAATTAAAAATGCTGATGGCTTTAAAATAATCAAATAAATATTTACGTCATAATTTCCTTGACGCAATACCTCATGAGTTAATACCAACGAAG